TCTCACACAAGTTACCATTGAATACTTACCTAATTCTTCCATATATTTGAAATCATGAGTCAATTGAAGCTAGACCACCATGGAAAACATGGAAACACCCGTTCTCGCGAGCGAGATTCGAACTCAGGACCTACCAGTCTCGCGCCAGAGCACTTAACCGATAGACCACTGAGCCGGCATTCAACGGTGTTAATGTCTAACTTCAACTGATCCATGAAGTTGAGCAACCGTTCACCAATTGTCTTCAGTGAGTTTCTACTTCACAACAGACCTGGTTTGAACTCCACTGGTCACTGCTTCCCACAAGAACTCCAAGACATGTGTCTTGAAGTCAGTCACTAGTGAGCATATGATTATAACCAGAAGGGGTTTTGTGGAGACTTCAGTATTTTTCATAGTTGAAATCATGAGTCAATTTTTGTGATTTCTCTCTAAATGCAAACAACTTACAAAAAAATGTAAAACCAATGTACATACTTTAAATCATATTGATGAAAGTTATTAAAATAAGGGTAATATATATAGAAGAATCAAAAAAGGTTTTGTGGAGATTTCAGTATTTTTCATAGTTGAAATCATGAGTCAATTGTAGCTAGACCACCATAGAAAACCTGGATGCACGTAGGTCTATCGGTTAAGTGCTCTGGCGCGAGACTGGTAGGTCCTGGTTTCGAATCTCGCGAGTGCGGGATCGTGGATGCGCACTGATGAGGAGTCCCATAATAGGACGAAACGGCCGTCCAGTGCTTCCAGATTTTCCATGGTGGTCTAGCTACAATTGACTCAGGATTTCAACTATGAAAAATACTGAAATCTCCACAAAACCTTTTTTGATTCTTCTATATATATTACCCTTATTTTAATAACTTTCATCAATATGATTTAAAGTATGTACATTGGTTTTACATTTTTTTGTAAGTTGTTTGCATTTAGAGAGAAATCACAAAATAAATGAATTCATCTTATTCCATTAAGTTCATTGTTCTTGCTTTAATGAAGATTGAATATTGGATTTGTACATTAAATCGATGATAATGGTTATATAATTGTGATAATTCCTTTTAATTCTATAAGATTTTATCCAATATTTGAACATCCAAGTTTGACTAATTTAAAAGGTAATAACGGTTATCAGCATTCATAAACTTTAAGTTCAACGGTTAGTCGAATATCATTTTAGATGAATTATATATAATAGGGTTTTAATTAACTGGCCCTAGAAACCAGTTTAAACTTACTGAAATTCAGAATTATTTAAAGTAAATATCTTCAAAATGAAACCAAATTGTGGAGACCAGTTAATTTATCTCACAATGCGTGATATTATGAATATATCTAATTAATTCAACAATACCATCATGAAATTTGTGTAAATAAATCATAAACGGGGCAGCAGCAGTACTAGGGCAAATGATTTGAAACTATTCTTAGGTAGTATATACGGAATACGGATTAATTTAATTTCCAAATGTTAAACTTTCATCTCAAGTTTCACAAGTGATTAACAGCAAAAGTAATTAATTATTTAAGCCTATTTACGTTAGCAACTACTTAACTGCACGTTTTTATCGGCATCATAAGTAACCGATCTATTATTATTACCATTACTATTATTGTGGTTATATGATAATAACTGACGGAGATTGAGGTAAACAAAAATTCAGAAAACCAAATTACGATATATATATATATATATATATATATATATATATATATATTAAACAGCTTGCTACAAAATATGTTAAGGAATTAACAATATCTTGTGATTATTGATAATGTTACCAAAAAAATTGTGTAAAGGTGAAGTAAATGCTCTTTTTCGAATAAAGAATGTAGTATTTATAATCCAAACATAAACACTGTATCGGTAAACACAATTTAGAAGATAACTTTGATAAAGTAATTTTTGACAGTTGAAGTGTATTAGTTGAACACTAACATTTACGCTAAAAGTATCTCTATCACAATACCATCATCATAGACATGTATTATTATTAACTTGTACAACTCATAAGACAAGGGTAGAATTAAAATTAATGATTTCAGTGTTATATCTACCTACCAAATTAAACTTTCATGCTCTGAAATAACATATTGAAACTGAACTCTAGTGAGAAATGCACTAATTGAAGAGTCCGTAAAATAATAGGACCTAGAAAAAGGAGGTGAAATGTTAACAAATTAAGGTCTCTTCTAATTAAAACAAGCTCAAGTTCGATAATGAAACAAGTCTCGGAGAAAAATCAGTTTTAGCTACTAAAAAAACGAGCATTTTATTTGTTTTCTTAAGCGTGAAAATCCCTTGTTTCACTGCCGCTTTAAAAACGCGAATTTCTTTGGTAGATAACTTTTAACAATAGATAACATACATTTCTCCAAACAGACAACTAGAAGTATTTATAAGTGGTTTTACTTTCCATAAGATGACTGATATTGCAAATAGTTTGTATACATTATTTATTGTTCAAATAGAATAATTAATTATATTGCATGGTTTGTTTTATCAGACGTTCTGCTCTCACTAAGTAAAGAGAGAGTCATATTATTTTCGTTATATGTTGAGTATATCATTCAATTTTATCAATACATACAAATATTCCAGTATCCCTACATTCGTTATTTATTTATTTAAACACGTAAAACAAAGAATGGATATAATTGGGACATTAAGAAAAAACGAAATAAAAGTTTAATTGAAGAGTCTAACACATAAAAATTGTGTTCTAATAACAAGTATATCAAAAGATTGTAGTCAGAGAGAGAATACAACTAAAACAGATTTAAATAAAGCATGCATTCGTACAATACGATAAATTTAGTATATTTAGTTGCTTCTTCTTCAACTGCAAACACCTACAAGTTTTATTGAGAATATTCACAAAAAATCTAAGGCTCCGAAGACAAAACACTCTTCGTATTTTGATAATACACCACTTGCTGAATATAGGATACAAACTGGATAAAATGTGTGCGTTTTAAGTGATCAGTAACTGATCCAGTCTCATCTTATTAAGATTCCTGCAAGTAATAAGTAGTGGGTAGCCTAAACATGATGTTTGCATCGAGAAAAGAGTATATGATTAACATACAACTACCATGAGTGACAGATACAATCAGCATGATAACTAGATATATTAACATTTTATTATAAAATCACTGATAATCACAATCCAGAGTTTTTTTTAATCAAAATGTTATTTTCGTCCTTAATCTCTCATATTTTTGTTAGATTCCGGACTGAAATTACTTCAAACATTCTACAATCATTATTCCGATCATTTTTTCTCTCTCTTGGAGATCCTGTTAAAATTATAATTTTCAATATTATTTACATTTCAGATAACTTATAGTTTATTGATAGACAATTCATTCGTTAAAATTTTAATTATGTTACCATTTTGAATTAATCAAATTGATTAGGTTATATGTAACCAAACAGAAAACAATAAACTACGATGAATCCATTGTATTCTGTTAATATTTTCACTATTGCTTTGTTAAATTTTTTAAAAAAAAACCAATCACATTTAAAAATAGATTTCACCATGTTTTCTTTTTAAAAAAAAATTGATTTTATTGTTAAAAATAACCGATTAGATACTTAATTGTTGTTAAAAACCACATTTGATAATGGATTAGTAAAATAGTCTGTCTAACTTCTCAGATATTCTATCAAGTTTGATGAATTGGATTAGTTTTTTTATTGTTGCTACAATAGATAATATGATAACATCACACACACACCCTTATATTCAATGGAAGCTAAATACAACCACCTCAAGACAACTACATTCGTGAAATTAAGTATCACAAATAAGATTTTACAAGATAAAAAGAAAATTAGTCGGAAGAAAAGAAAGCGAACCATACAAAAGTACCATTATATGTATAGAAATACTTCAAATACTCAAATTTTTTTTTGATTGAGATCATGGATCGATCAATGTTAAACGACCATTGAAAACCTCGAAGCACTAGACGGCTATTTTGTCATACTATGAGGCTCTTTAGCAGTGTAGATCCACGATCTCGCACGCTGGATTCGGAGCCAGGGCCGTCAGTTACAAATGTTTATTAACTTCCACATATTATCAACAATAATTTTTTAAAATAATTATTTTCTGTTGTCACTTAGCTGTGAATCAAACAACAGATGGTTAAATATTATATTTATTTAGATTAATTTCATTTGAAACTTCATAGGAAAAATAAATAATTTATTGAAATTAAATTAAACGCACTGAAATAAAAGAAGACACCAATGATCAATTCATAGGATAATGAAATTTATTTTACACTCAACTAACTTTAAGGTGTTGCGTTTCATGATTAACACAATGTTTTAAATATAACTTACATTAGTAATGAACACTGATAAGTGTTCATTCAATTCTTTTCTAAGGATACTTTCAGCAAACACATTCATACTGAAAGGAAACGTTTTCAGTTGTTAAGTTTACTGTTTTTTGTTTAGGTGTAGGTATGGACTGTATATAAGAATAAAAAAACTTACTAGAAACTGATAATAATGTTCAATATAATGGGTGTAAACAGATAAGGTACATTTACAACATTAATTGTCATTTAGATCACTTATTTTTTTAAAGAAAATTAACTATTGAAGCTTTATTAAGCAATTGATTTTATCTCATTAAACTCAGGTAGATATTTTTAATGAAGTTGTATTCTCCAAACTGGATAGATTTATTACAAAATCATCTGTCATTTCTTAAATTGTTTGTGCAATTTAATATATAAAAAATAGCTATAAGCAAATCTACCATGCCAAACTTCCCGGTGTAACGAAGCAACCATGAACTTAATATTAAATAATAGAAATTGTTAAAAGTTTAAAACAAGATTGCACAAAAGTATTCAAAACATTACGTAAACAAGACTTTAATATTAGAGACTAATTACATAAGAAATATGAAATCGAATTTCATGATAAAACTATAACAAAGAGAGAATAACATAAACAAACAAATGAATTAACTCACAATATGTAAGTCAATACCCCAACCGCCCACATATCAGTTGCAAAAGTTATCGGATCGAAATTGACGATTTCTGGAGCTGTTCATAATATGAAAATAGAGAAGACGTAGAAACTAATCATAATGATTAGATTACAAAAATGAATTAAGACGATAATAGAACAAATATTTTTGATTCATCTTGTATTGGTTATTTGAATCTTCCCATTGAAGTTGAAGACTGAAATTGATCAGTCTCTTTTGGGATATGTGCATTGTATCCGGATTGCCTCGTTATTGCCTTAAGTCACAAGCATTATAGATAGAGATGGATGGTGACTAAAAGTGGAATCCGGGATGCACATTTTATCTTATTTAGACTCATCAGCTGGATATCCCTGCAAGCCAGAGTTCATGTTCACTTCAGGACTGATCGGTTCCAGTCCTAAACGTCAATGGGAAGATTCAAATGTCCAATAAAATATTAATTAAAATTCACAGCATCACAAAAGCTAGTAGCTATCTGGAATAAGTAGCTAAGTGGATAACGTGATGGCGATTGAAGAGAACGGTAGTGAGTTTGAGTCTCAGAGTGGAAATAAACTCTGAAGTGCAGGTACATTCATGTGACCAGTTACAAATAGGACGAGGTGGGCGTGCTGAATTCCGAAACTAGCCACCATCCATCTCTGCTTACAATACATTTTTAATATTGGTGTTTATTAGTAACATAATAATCATTTCGTCCTATAAACAAAATGAAAATGAAATGGATAATATGAGCTAACCATAAAACAACGTAAAAAAATTTCGAAAGCGACTTTATATAATCCATTGTTAAACCACTGCGTAGTATATGTGAAACTTAGATCGCAAAGTATTACGATATAAAACACGAGATATACCACTGCAGCAGAACATCACGGCAAAAATAAAGTTATGTTTAGATGCAGTAAAGTACCAAAAATTGTAATAACTAATCACGTTTACGTTAGTCAACTTCGTAGATATGCTTAACAATCCCCTAATATTGGCATGCAGGATTAAACTGGAAAAAACAGATAAAGTTAAAGAGGACAAAAAGAATACCAAGCTAGAAAATTGTTATGAGGTTTTCAGACTCTCTATGACAGACGTAGAGAGCTAAACGAAACAGGGTGACATTTAATCTGGTACAAGTATTTCAGCAGTACTTTCAACTTTCTTCATCTGATCCAATTTATTGTCAAATTGCTTAATACAATTTTTCCTACTTCTGTTTTCACTCATTAATTTACTAAGAATGTTCCTAAGATCAACAGCGTTATTAGATTAGATATTTTTGTCGTTTGTATTAGTATATATATTCATATTTTTATGTGTAATCAAAATAACAGAAATAAAACGATCAGCTAAAACCGTATATAATTTCAAAACTACACATTTCTTATCAAAAGATGTTCCTTTTACACAACACTAAAAAGAACAGAAGTTGGTAGATACTGTTAAAATCTGGGATGGATTGGTAACTTATAATAATTCTGAGAAATACTTTTTATTCTCGTCAATACTGCAAAAATAAACGCCAATGCAAGTTTACATCCCCACTTGAACAACAATAAAACATGTAACGATTGGAGAAATATTGCCAATTAACTTAATATTGATCAACTGAGAAATTGCCTACAAGGTTCATGTGTCCTATGCGGATAATAATAATAACACTAATGATAATCATAAACATATGAACAGTGAATTTACACAGACGGAATGATCGAGTTGTATGTGTACGTGCATCTGTATGTACATACGTGTACACAGTAGGTTTGTGTATATCTGCACTAATTGGCAAAAGAAGTGTGTTTATGTGTACGTGAATAAATAATTTCACAAAATTGAGAATTTTGCAATTTTCTCTTAAATATAACAGGATATTATGCTACTATTGGAGTTTATTTTATGAGTCAGACAAGAAAATACGGAAAAAATATATAATTTTATTACAGAAGTGTTCATTATAGCTATTAGACGATAATTTACAGAAGAATCAATGAAATTAAGGATAGCAAGTCTTGCATTTGGGCGCAAAATTCATTCATCCATATAGTCAAATAGCATTTCGGCATTACAGCTTATGTCGATTCGTGATGAAAATTTTTACTTTAATGCATAATCTTAAATTCCAACTCCGAATTCTGATCCTGATTCATCATATTAACTTATAACCCTCTTTTGGCACTGGTAAGTTGATGAATTGTCTTAAGGTCGATACAGCTCCGCTCAAACGTTGTCCATAAACTATAGTCCCACCAAAAATATATTCCAAGTGAATATGTTTGGGTAGAAACTACTAGAAATGATTCCTTACTTTTAAAAATAATCAAACAGGAACTGTTTGAAAACTAATTTATTTTTAAAATAAGAAAAATAGAAGTTCGAATTAACATGTTAACAATATGTTTGTCTTTTAGATCATCGTATCTAATTGCAATCAATGTATTTTTGAATTAGTCAGAAAAGCTCATCTTGAATACTGAAATAAAAATACGTTTGAGAGTGTTGAATAAAAGTTCAAATAATTGAGTTTAAGCCATTTGTATTGCTGTCTCATAACTACCGGAATTATTCAGCTGCTAAGAGCCAGACCAGTTAAAGTTACATTAGAATATGTGGTACAGTAGTTTGAAGTATAATTATTAAACAAATGAGAGAAACAATACAGATTATGACTATAATCAGTTGATTATTAACTTTAAAATTATAATCATATATTTCAAACTTTGTATGACAAACTAGTGACAGGTTAGCATCCTTTATAAGCTTTGAACTTAACAGTAAGTTACATGCAACATAGAGAATGAAACATATGTGCACCGGTTCAAGTTGCCATATTCCGTTAACAAAACGAGATAAAGTTATCAAAACAAATCCCTGGGTAGTAGAAGTAGTAATAGTATCAATAGTAGTAGAAAATATAAAACACAAAAGATATGATTAGAAGAGTAAATATGGATTCGTGCAATAAGAAAACCATAAGATAATTAACAAATCTGAGATCCAAGTAAAAGCGAAGAATAAATACACCCACGTCATTGCGAACAACTCCAAGCCATTTATCCAACGCCTCCAAACACTGGTTATGATGATCATGCTGTATCCAAAAAGGTAATCTTCACCTAGTTATATGGTTGAGTCCGATTGTCAATGACTTCATAACAACTGACAACCCACAACTTGATTCCAACCTACTTCTAAAACAGACAACACCGCCTGCCGAGATAGGCGGTAGATTTGTATTCTGAAAACATGTCTCAATCAAGTGCAGTGACGAACACTTTCAACTACTCCACTTCCTACCGTTAGTTAAGGTGTTGATACAAACCAGTCCCAAAAATTTCGGATTTAGAGGAAGAGAATTAAAACCTAAATATGGTTTAATTATTGTTTAAAGTGGTCGTAAGATTCTGAAATTTACCAGTCTTCACTAACCTGGACCATATTAACTGTTAATTCTAAGTCAACAAGTGAGTTTGCTTGTAGGAGACCGATTTCTTGAAAAGTTAGGCGATGAGAGTGTAATCGCTAAAAGATGTATATTTCATTTGTTAATTTATTCTTCTTAATTTATTTAAATAGATATAAAAAAATGAGTAGAGTGGAGTTTTGCACGAAAGTATATCGATTCTAGTTTAGTAGGACTATCAACAGTTAAGACAAATATTTAGATACACTAGGTGAAGAACCGAAGTGGGTGATGAATCAATAGACGCAGAGTAATATTTTTCAAGGGTAGATAAAATGAAGAGATATATCAATATTAATATAAGTGGAGAGTTTGATACATCATCATCCGAACTGATACTGATTGAACTTTACATATGAAGCATAAATGTTTCAGATGAATAATTACTGACATCAAAGGTTAGGAATATATTCTACTTTAATCAACACATCAGAGTTGGTGGTTGCTATGCATGTGTAACCATTGATTTAGCTCCTAACTTCATCCATTGACTTGTAGTCTTAACTACCAATTATTTAAAGTGAGGGTTCATTACTTAGTGATTCAATTACAATCAGCTGATGCCCTAAACGAATACTATACAATTGAAAAACATGATGGTTTACGGTAAACAAATAAGAAAGTCTACTTACACGTATTCTTTTCTTGGTATGACTTGGTGATTTTTTCACGAATGAAAATTGTAATAACATGGACTGATGCACTGTTGTGCATTGCAACATTTTATTTATCTAAAGTTTTCCATCTAAATAACAGAAAAACTATTTCCTGAGTTGTACTTTAACAATACTTACATCAGTGTGCAATTCTGGCTAGCACAGGTGTAGGTTGGAAAGAAAGCTATATGAAACTAACCCGATAGGTAGGATTAGTCTGTGAAAGCAATGACTGACGGCCTAAGGAGTTTAAGAGAGTATGAATTTTAAACACTATTAAGGTAATAAGGTTTAAAATCGATGGCAGTGATATAGATGCAGTAATTATTCATCTCTATCTAAATCTTGAATAGTGCATTTTTCCACACATTAATTCACTAAATTTATGTATTTATTTCGACTTTTTGCCTTTTAAACTTTCCCTAATATATAAATATTTTCACTCGAGCTTATTTCCTTTGATGGTAATTATGTGACATGTATCAATTTGGATTGTTACCAATTTGTGTCAGATCTTGTATCATTTTATATTTATTTGTCTGGTTGGTTTACTGAAATGTCATGAAAACTTTGAAAAAAGTTATGGCTTACAAGTAGATATCCAATTATGTTAAAATTATCATCAGAAAAGTACAAGCAGCTAAAATCATAATTAAAAATATTTAATTATAAAACATATATTTTGAAGAGTCGTTAAATATGAATGTACTTATTAACTACATATACTTGGTTAACCTCCAGAGTAATTGGCAAAATATGAGTTGGTTGTTTTTGCCTTATTCATATTAGTTTGAATCTTCGCATCAATAATTAAATTTGAGATTGATCAGTCTATTTTGGCATATGTGCACCCTGTACAGTTTGTCTCAAATCGCCATTGAGTCATAAGGATTATAAGCAGAGATGGATGGAAACGCGAATGCTGGATTCCACTGCTAGCCA